GATGTGAAAATTAATGAGTTGTTGATTGGACATCCATCTCATGGTAAACTTAGGATTTGAATATGTAGCAACATTTTAAAACACTTATCAACGGTGTGACATTTATAGAATTACTGGAGTTTCGAGTTGGATTCTTGGGTTAGGCAAAGTGTAATTAAGGTTTTAGATTTTGAACATAATTAATTTAGTATAGGGCCCATAATTGCGCCCGGTGTATGGCAATAACTTTACTCGTTTATTTTATTAAAACTTTGCCCCACACTAGGATTTTCCTCTGTGTCGTGGGTACGTTTACAAACATACAAGTTCACATACACATGACATCCAAACCCGGAACATCAATTTGTGGATTACACAGAGTTGAGTTGCTCTGTGTGGGAATCGGACCCGTGACGCGTTGCACGGCAGCCGATTACCTAGTCACCGCGATCGCATCAACCGTGCTGTCATTCAGTAATACAAACGTCACTTATAAACCTAACGTGCAAAAATGGCTGCCTATTTGCCAAATTCATTGCATAATGTTATTATTATACTAGGTTTTCCCTTCATACCTCATTGGCACAAGTGCGACTGCTAAGGGGTCTCGGGTTTGATTTCTGTGTCGGGAAAAGTATTACTAGGGTTTTAACAAAAATTTCAGTAGTAGCACGGAGCCTGGAATTGTGCTCTCTCTGTTAATATAAATAGTGAAAAGTGCGTGTTACAGTGGTATTAGGTCACATAATGTGCACCTCTGCCTACCCTTCGGGGATAAAGGTTTATGTGTTTTCCTTTATGAAATGTCATCACATCACACTATACCTTTTTCTAGTCGCGGAGAACCTAACGGGTAACCGGGGCTCTGGCTCGACGTGCAGGAGAAGGAACGGGGTGGTTTTTAGTCAGTAAGAGTCTGACACTCCCTCCTGCCCTGCCATGATTTTCCCCCTTAAAAAAAATCCTTAAGAACAATGGGTCAAGTAAACTCATAAGACAAACTGTTAACAAAATAGTAACAAAAGCTATGAAACGTTCAGCAGTTTATTCAATTAGATGTTTATTTTCACGCGCATTTAAATATACTCACAGCATGTCAAACTATCCTAAATCTCCAAAAATTCTGAATAAACTTTTAACCTTATTACCAATGCTGTAAGGTTGGAAATAAATTGATAATATACTGGTGTAGATTGATGTGCTGTATTATATTTTATAAGGTCCATAATAAATTGCGTTTTTATGAAAATAATTTTATATCTCTTTGTTACAGGTAAGAAAATGTGCAAGCTGGAATGTTTAAGATTCTACTTACCTCTACATAAGAAATGGAAGAACAGAAGGTTCATTTTGGTATCGTTTAGTTTTAAGGAGAATGATAAATAATGGGTTTTGTTCTGAGAGTCAAAGCAAAGTCAAAGCATTTACTTCAATTAAACCATAATTTGGTACTTTTGAAACGTCAACAAATACAAAATAAATAATAGTCTGTCAGTCAGTCCGTCAGTGATGCTAGGTGAAGCTAGATGTTCATTCCAAAATGTAGATTCGAATGGAGACGAACGAGCAAGAAACTCCATTCGTTACTCTTTTTTAAAAAAAGTATATTCTACAATGTCTCACCTCAAGTCTCACCTCTCATGTCAAGAGGTGTTCACCAAATGCCAGTTTTCACAATAAATCTAGAAAAGTGTATCTAGATAATTTCCTCATTCACTTTTCATGCTGATTTTGAGGTATTAGATTTAACCCGATCATAAAATTGACCTTAATCATTTTCGGTTTTCGATTTCGAAACTTTCAGTCAGGCATTTGCTTCGGTTTTTGGCAACACATACATTGGGAAGGATTAAAAGATAACATTAAAAAATTGCATTGTAAACGTTTAATATTCTCTCTACTCACCTTCTCAAATTATTAATTTAACGGAGTCTCATGTCCAACAAATAGACAAACGCCACTCATGTTTAATTCGTGCTTAAGTATGCTTCTGTCTCTACAAATTCTCTGTAAAATGACAGAGACGGCTTGATATTTAAGTACAACTTAAAGTTTAGTAGCCTTTTAGTATTTGTGTGTAAATCAAGTTCGATATTAGTATTTTACATGAACTACAACCATTTATACTCCACAATCCTCCTATCCTACTTCCCACTAATATTATAAGTGCGAAAGAGGATGTATGTATGTTTGTTACTCTTTCACGTCAAAACGGCTGAAGGGATCAAGATGAAATTTGGAACAGGGGTAGATTATGATCTGGAACAACACTTAGGCTACTTTTACGCGACAGGAACGCGGGCGAAGCCGCTTTCAGAAGCTAGTCCTTCATAACTGTGATCAAACAATTCCAAGCTTACCTTCTGATAATTTCCCTTACCTTGCATTCTTTGAAGACAAGCGCTACCGTAAATCATAGCTTCTCACCCTGACAGCGCTCCGAAGCGCCGACCATTTTGACAAATATTAACGTCTTCGCATCATTAATAATGTCATGCTAAACTTACACTTGTTCGTTCTCTAATAAGGGTGGGAATTCTGTGCAGTAAACCTGCTGATGTGCTAGGGTTTCCTCTCTAGTGTATTGTGTATTGGTTTGTTAGTTGTCAGTCGGTTTTGGCTGTAAATGTGTAATATCTTAAGATTTGGTGTATTTATGTATCTTTAAGTGCTTCACACTCGGGTTCTCATGTTTAATACTGGTATTATGAAGTTAGACCGTCTATTAGCGTCTTTTAAAATTGCTGTACTATCAGATGTTAAAACTGCCATCAAAAATTTAATAAGCAGTGAATGTGTTCGCAATTCAAGGAAGGAAATAATCGAACTCGAAAGAAATATTGACAAACTAGTAGCAGCATCGCGACAGTCGCCGCGTCGAGGGCCGCGGAATGATGCTCATGAATATGATCATCTAACATGGCTTAAACTAGGCGAGTTCCTTGTCAAACAGTTACGCGATTAAGCCGAAAACATAGCAATTGACAAACAAAATACAAAAATAAATAATTTTGGCTTATACGACTAATCAAGATTAATTTACTTTGTCCTTGAAACTTAAATGATAACAACTTATTCGTCTGCATGAATAATGTAGTGATAAAAATAACTTTATCAAATATTAATCTTTTTTAAAGAAATAAAATCACCTGTTTGTCCATTTAGAATCTGTATTACTTCCATTTTCTTGCACTTACTTAAATATAAAACATGGAAATGAATTATTTAGTACTTAAAACTTTTCACTTTATTATACTCCACTGAACGTTTTTACAAGTATCTATGTCATGCACAAAACTTGGTTCGAAGTAAACCACGGCTAGACCAACAGCAACGTCTGTCTGCAATGTGACTGGCAGTGAATGGATTTGGAGAGCTGAAGATCACTTAGTAATATATACAGGCTGATAAAAACGATGATTCATTAAAAATGACGCCGTTTACGTCGAAAAAGCCATACAATGTGCTCCGTCCAATAACATATCAGCACCATTCAAATTAGGAAACATATCACTCGCTGTCCAACATATCAGTGTAGCAATTTCATTTGGATCCAAAATCATGCCATTATCAAGATATTGAGCGTAAGCTGCACTTAAATCAGCTAGCAAATGAGGATTGTTTACGATTAGAGGAGCTCGAATATTTGTTCTTGAAGGTCCAGGAGTTATACAGTTTATCCTCACTCCTAAAGGTGCTAATTCTAAAACGGCTTGTCTACTAAACGTCTGCAGTGCTTCTTTGGATAGAGTATATCCCAACGTTCCAGGCAAACCTCGCTTCGACATCGAACTCCCAATGTTTACTATGTTCCCCTTCGTCTTCTCTAAGTGACGTAGCGACAACTGTGTTAAACGATACGGTACTCTGAAGTTTAAGTTCATTAAGTCGTCAAGTTTCTCCATTGACTCATCGGTGAGGTCTGATAGTACTACTTTGCCGGCACTGTTCACTAATATGTCTAGCTTTCCATATGTTTCTACAGTCTTGTTGACGACTGCCTCGCAGGCGCCTGGTTGTGTCAGGTCTAGTCGCACCCACAATGGTACTTCGTTGCTCACTTCCACACATTTGTTTACTGTCTGTAGCAACCTCACCTCATCACGTCCCACTAAAGACAGCTTGGCTCCATGCTTAGCGAATGCTATTGCAGTTGCTGCTCCAATGCCTGAACTAGCACCAGTCACTATCGCCACTTTTCCTTTCAAATCTATTTCCATTTTATTATCCATTTTTTTATCGTCTGTATTACACTTAACTTTTAATTTCACGTTAGTATTATCCGATACACGTCCTTCTTTGACAGCGGTTTTTGATACATTGATAACGTTATCAGCTTTATCAGCATTAGCGCTTTATTTACCTGTGTTGTGGTTAAAGGTGTAACCTGGACTAGATTACTAGATATCACGCAATTATTTACTTTATTGTTTAATACCTAATGTTTACTCTGCTAATTGTTATTTATGATGAGACGAGTGACATCTGTGAGTAAGTGATAAATTTGATTAGCAATTTGAACCTCTTAAGTACCATTTCAGATTTCCCTTTTTCAGGTCAGTATCTATAGGATCATGAAATAAATAAATATCTAATTACTTGCTTTAATGCACCTCCTATAGTTGATAGAATTAAACTTAAGTACTTTTGGAAAACACATACTTATCAAAAGTCAAACGAAATCATACAATTCGTTCCCAAATGATATTCTGTTTTACAAATTAATTGTATGCATCATTAACAACTATATTTACTTCAAGATCATGAACAGAAACACTAATTTAAGATCATAATTATATCAGAACAAATTAGTTATCTAATTTAGTCCAAACTTTCAGCCTTGCTAACAAAGTAACTCCAGCTTTAAATCTGTCACTTTGACGAACGATTATCGCCTTTATCTCCTTGGGTATAGCGATCAATTTTGTGAATAAATTCGGCTTACGTATCATTATGTTTTGAGTTATTGGTATAAGCTGTAGATTAGAGTCTTTATTCGGTGTTAGGCTTTTCTTGCCATGCATTTCGAGTTACTAAACCATGTGAAGTGATTTTAGGATTTTCTTCTGTGTCTTGGGTGCGTTTACAAAACTACAAGTTCACACACACAAAGTGTTGTTTCGTGCGGGAATCGAATCCGCGACACGTTGCACGGCAGCCAGTTGCCCAGCCACCGCACCAAACTTGCAGTCAAAGTCAGTCAAGAAAGTCCGTGTTGATGATAATGATGATGATGATGATGAAACAAATAATTATCTTATCTTTGAATAAACAGACTAGTATCTTATTAATTCATCAGTAAAAACAATATAAGATCTCATATTTATTGTATGAAATTATTCATTTCTTTTAGGTACGATAATCAGTTTTTGCCTCTTCAAACCTCCATGCTAATTGCTGAGAATTTCCAAAATTTAAAATCATAATAATACTTTGTCTGACTCGGGAATGCTCCACAGTATTTTCGTCGACAGTTATTTTTCATTACTGTTATCACATGATGATTTTCTATTGTGATTCTACTGGAAGTCATAAATCTTCCTTCTTTGTCATTTTCCTTATATTCTGCTACCCCATATTGCGACCATCTTTCCTTCAAACTATATTAAACGTATTTATATGAGAATACCACCGTGTGTTATATCAAGACTTTTAATATTAAATACGTAGAGTAATATTTATGTATTCAAATAAATAAAATTGAGAGTGTCTAGTTGTAATATTGAAACAATTGCTTTTTACTTCATGCATATGAATATACATAATGATACTTATACCAAAATAGCACCTTTTACAATAATTGTCTTTCTATCTGTCTGTCCTCACCCCTATTACATGGGACCTCATAACATAAAATAGTGAAAAGTGGGTGTAACATTGTACAGCGGCATTAAGTGCCGTAATGTATACCTCTGCCTACCTACCCCACGGGTATAAAAGGCGTGATGTTCTGTCAGTCTGTCTGTTTGTACTGGATAATCTCTGAAATCACTGGACCAATTTCAACTGGACTTTTATTGGTAGATAGCTGATGTACTAAGTAACATAGGCTACTTTTATTTCAAACAAACGCGGTCGAAGTTGCGGTTTCTGCTAGTATCTTTATTAAATCCTATTTTGTATGATGATAAGTGTTTTTGTATAATTTGACAAGTCATTAAACATAACACATTAATTGGTGTTATACTAATTGTTGAATTAATTTTGGTTTAAGTTACTGATATGAAGACATTGTTGTTTATTTTCCAAAAGAGTATGCAATTATGCATAGCTATACAGTTAAGAAAGACATAACATAACATCACGCCTTTTATCCCAGAAGGGGTAGGCAGAGGTGCACATTACGGCACTTAATAAGTTAAGAAAGATTTCGTAATATTACTCCCTCTATACAATTAGTAACTTAGTAGGTGCTATCACTTTCCGATCCAGGGATTGAACCTTAGATCTCGTGCTTATCACTTCTTCCTTCACTTATAATGCAAGCAATGAGTATTTGAATACTAAATAAGCTGCACAATCTAAATCTTATCTATAATGAAAAAAAAATGAAACAAATAATACTTATCAAGAATTTATCAATGAAAGGAAATAGTCACACATTCATACACCTTAACATAATTAAGATCAAATGTTTGTACTCACAATTCATACACATAAAACACTTTAAAATCTAAGCCATACAAACTGCACCATCTAGCAACATATCAGCACCATTTAGACTCGGAAACGCGTCACTAGCAGTCAAACAAATCAACAAGGCAACCTCTTTAGGATCCAACATATTACCATCAGACGTCGACTTTATCAAATCTTTGTTGATCATATCCCTCAATTCTGGATTATTCACAATTATATTCGCCAAAATATTCGTCTTCGAAGGCCCTGGACTTATGCAGTTTATCCTCACTCCTTTAGGCGCTAATTCAAATGACGCCTGTCTTGTAAACATCTGCAGCGCAGCCTTTGACACGGTATATCCCAGCATCCCAGGTTTTGTCCGTCTCGACATTGAAGTTCCTATGTTGATTATATTTCCTTTCGTTTTCTCCAAATGCGGTAGTGCTAACTGTGATAAGTGATATGGTATTCTGAAGTTCACGTTCATCAAGTCATCTAACCTCTCCATTGAATCGTCAGATAAGAATGAGAATATTACCTTTCCAGCACTGTTTACTAGTATATCTAGCTTTCCGTATGTTTCTACGGTCTTGTTGATGACTGCTTCACAGGCTCCTGGTTGCGTCAGGTCTAGTCGCACCCACAGTGGCACTACGTTACTTACTTCGACACACTTGTTCACTGTCTGCAGAAGTCTGACTTCATCTCGTCCCACTAGTGATACCTTAGCTCCATATTTTGCAAATGTTACCGCTGTCTCTGCTCCAATACCTGAGCTAGCTCCAGTCACTATCGCAACCTTTCCACTCAAGTCTATATCCATTTTATCTTCAACTTCTTCAAATTACTCAATTTTATTCTCGCTACTTATTTTATGATTGTATTTATCGAGTGTTATATTAATAGCGATTCACACGTCTTTGTATGACCGTGGTTGGCAATACTTTGATAGTGTTATCGGTTTTTATCAGTCGCCGCTCTACTTTGTTTACTTGTCTCCGAGTAACAATATTGTACGTAATATTTGTATTATGCAATGCACGCTGTGGACGTGTGTTCGTTGACCGTGAGCTTAAAAACCCTAGAATGTTATGCAGGCCAGCAAGTGTAAATGCAGTGTATAAATCTGACAGTTTAGGGAATTATAGCTTTTCACAGTACTGATAAGAGTCTATGTGTAAAACAGCTACAAATTTTTAGACGAATTATATATGACATTGCGTATTTCTTGTATCATGATGTAGATACCCTAACTAACAAATAATATGCCAAGTATTTACATCACTATTCTAAAAATAGACCAAAATAAACCTTTTCCTGACCTTTTACATCCGGAGAAATTGAAAGCTCCCATTTGTATGATACAGAATACGAAGGATGATTATCCATACTCACAATTGTGAAGGCCAAGAATTTTTTTGCTTGAAAATAACCTGAAACCTGAAACTACACGGCCGCGAGCAGCGAGGCCCACAAACAATGCTGAAGTTTTCATCAACGGCACGAACATATGAAGATTTTTGTGTTTTTGTTTTTTAGGCTGAAGTGAATATATGCTTGGTATTGTTTGTTTATGTGAATGGTATTGTGTTGTTGGTGTTGTAATTGTTTGTTGATTACAGAGATAGGTACATTAATTTTGAAAATTACCTCTTCATGGTAAAGGTGTTTTATAATAAAAACTTACTTTTTGAATGGATTACGAACCTCACTAAGCATTCTGTTAGTTTAGCATTTTTTGAATGGACTTATTCTGTCATTATTTATGCGCATATGTTTCGGTGTATGATTCAAGTTAAAAAAAAACGAGTAATCAATTTTTGAAATCCAAAACTCAACAACAATTTACTAAACAGTTTGAGTCGCCGGTATACGAAACCGCTAATCGTAAGATTTTTTACTATTTTTTATGTAAGGGTGGAAAATCATCGAATCTTGTCTCCAGCCTCATGTAGGTAAGGATATCATACTCTTACTGACTAAAAACCACCCCGTTCCGTCACCCACTTCTGCACTTCGAGCCGGAGCCCCGGTAACCTACGTTTTACTTACGTTTTCCGCGGCATGATTTCTTACTACACCATACAATTACTATCCATTGTTTCTGCCGCGTATACAAACAAACATAATTATAAACATCAATTACGCAAACTGCTATTAAATAACAATACAGTAAACAGTGTTGACATCATCATTAAATACTTAGTATTCGACCTTCACAAGTAATTTATTTACCTCAGTTTTTGTCTACAGTTTACATTTTTATGAATGAACTGATGACGGTCCACTGATCACGCGTCGAATAAGGCATCTCGGTACTTGATTTCGGATATTTTCTATTGAGATTTTCGATCTTATTGAATTCTCAGCATGTAGACTGGAATTTTGATCAATGTACGGGCAATAAAAGCGTCCCCATGCCATATGACTGTTTAATCTATTATTATTAACATCAACAGCCTATAAGTGGCCACTGCTGACCAAATACCTCTTCCCACACGAAGAAGGTTTGAGCATTAATCGCCATGCTTGTTCAATGCGGGTTGGCGATGAAGATTAAGTTTCCTCACGATATTTTCCTTCACCGTTTGTCAATGGTGTCTAAATGATCTTAGAAAGTACATATAACTCGGAAATGTCACATTGGTACTTGCCGTTGGTAGGTTTCGAACACGCATCCTCATGCATGAGAAGCGGGCGCCTTGAACCTCCGGGCCACAACGACATATCGATAAGATTTTTAATGTATAAGACATGTTTACTAAAACGGCCTGTCAATGTAATAATAGCAGTAGATAGAAAAATCAATGTATGGAATTGACACTAGCCTTTGATATAATCATTTCTAAATATAAATATCTTTTTGGTTTAGACCACTATGAGTAAAGTACGTTAAAGTTGACTATTTAGCCTAACAAAGAAACTTATGTCTTTGACTTCTCTATTCATAGGATTCAACTAGCGTTTATGCTAATTTGTCCAGCTAGACTGTTGTACTTCTAACATAGCCGGCGACAAAGAGGTTCACTTACTATGATTAAATCTCTGCTTATACCTTAAAGGCATAAATGTAATCATGATGACTGCATCGTTGGCCGAGTGGTCGCAAGTGCGATTGCCGGGCAAGGGGTCTCGGGTTCGAATCCCGGGTCGGGCAAAGTTTTACTGAGTTTTAAAAAATAATTCTCAGTAGTAGCACGGAGTCTGGAATTGTGCCCGGTATGTGGCAATAGGCTCACATCCTATTACATGAGACTCATAACATAAATAGTGAAAAGTGGGTGTCACATTATAAGTACAGTGGTATAATGTGTGTAGGCAGAACCTACCCCTTCGGGTATAAAAGGCGTGATGTTATGTTATGTATGTAATCATGATGAATTGCTTCGAAAATAACATTTACGGCACGTCTGTTATTATTAAATTGAACATAAACTTAACATTTGTTATGTAAGTAACGCTATAATACTGCAGTTATCACAATATTATTGTACAGGTTTTCCTCTTAGGCAATTTGGGACCGGTTTTATTTCTATTTATATAGCTGTTTGTAAACATGTAGGCTGTGAATCATATGGATTCTTGTTTCTATCAAAATGTTTAATGTTCATTTTGGTTTTGATAAAATGAAGCTGGCGTTATTGAGTTTCTGTTCGCTATCTCTTTCTCGTATCTCTAATGTCTAAATAATGTGTTTCGTCTTTATTAAACCTGTCTTCATCAATTAGATCATATTTCATAAACCAATAATATTTTCATACTGCTGCGTATGAAGTGCCAACGTTCCACGTAACATTACCATTGTAAACAAAACTATTTTAACACTCAAGGTCACGCAGACATTCAATAAAAAACTTATTCAGTTCAAAATACGAGTTTTTACTTCATCACATTTTAACGTAACAACATTTGGTTGCTTACCGATTGGATAAATTCTGTTTTTGTGCATAATTTCCATTTCTGTTTACACTTTATGCAAATGGCGTATCATTTAATTGTAAATCACTTTGACACACATACATTCGAACTCGGTATCACACTTTTAAATTTCAGATTTATTTGTTTATCGTGTAGTTTGTTGTATTTATCGAATTGCCACTAAACACTCCCGGATGCCGCTCCATCAATAACTATGTTAGCACCAGTTAAATTAGGATTAATGTCACTTGCAACAAACACTATCATTTTCGCAACTTCTTCTGGCTCTATAATAACATTATTAGGTACTGTCTGAGCTAGTTTCTCATACACATGTGCCATGTCACTCTCTGGTACGTTCAAATTCGATAAAATATTAGTTCTTGTCAGCCCGGGACGAACTGCATTCATTCTGATCCCTTCACTTACTAGTTCCAGTGCGCCTGCTTTTGTAAATCTCTGCATAGCATCTCTCACTATAGCGAAATGTAGAAATCCAGGTTTGACTTTCGCCGGTGCTCCAAAAACATTCACGATATTTCCTTTAGTCTTCTTCAAATGTGGCGTACACAATTGAGTCATTTTATAAGGTACACGAAGATGCAAGGCGAGAAGATCATCGAATATTTCCATTGTATTATCAAACAACGACGTAACACTCGCCTTCCCAGCACAGTTCACGAGCACGTCTATTCTTCCAAAAGTGTCCACAGTTTTTCTGACGATTTCATCGCAATTTGCGTCGACTGTCAAGTCGTACAGCAGACATAAGGGTCGTATTCCTTTCGCCGCTTCACACTTGTTTGCTACTTCGAGTAATCTTGCTTCATTACGTCCCACTAACGCCATTGTAGCTCCATGTTGAGAAAACAACTTGGCAGTTGCTGCACCGATGCCGGAACTAGCGCCGGTTACGATAGCAATTTTGCCGGTAAAATCCATTCCACGGTACCGTTTGTGATGGTGGCCGCCGTACGACTGTCGACGTATGTCGCTCGTACTTCGAATATGAACAAACTGGTTTCTGCTGTTGATATAGATTCGAGTTCTCAAAGTTTTTAAATAATCCAACTTTTTTTATAGATCTGTTTACGTATTAATAGTCATATATTCAGCTGAGTCACCTTAAGGAAAATTTTATGTGTTTCTTTTTTATTCAAATCAAATCGTTTTGTTTCCATAAATATTAATTTGATTCGTAACACTGTCAATTGAAAATGTAGAACGCTTAAAATCCAGAGAAATTAACATTTAAATTAAAGGATTCGGGAAATCTGCATACCTAATTTCGTTACGAATGTACTTTTATGTAATGGACGATAAAACTCGATTTATGTTTTAAAATAATTTTATTCAGCGATTCGCGGTATAATTGAAACACTCGTGAAAATTGCAATTATTTTAAGTTGCATGGTGAATGAAATGAAAGATATGAAAATAAAATTAAATGATGAATGCTCAACTCATTTACGCTCCACAATTCGTAATAAAAAGATAATTAAAATTATTACCATTTTAAACGCGGGTCAGCTTCAAAGAGATAAACTTGAGGTAAAATTAGTTAAATTTTGTTTCCAGGAAAATATTATTAAGGACATTCAATAATTCCATATTTTATTAGTAGCAAGCAAAATACCATTGTCAACAGATTCGTCTGCTAATAACATTATTTATTTTTTCGTAACTGTGTCTATGCCAACCTTCTTACCAATCACGCCTAAACCATCCCTTAACTAAAAGTTACTTAGCATGACGTAGCACCTAAACTAACCTCTTACCTGAAAGTTAAATGTCACTTATAGGTTTGGGAAAACCTAAGGGCTATTAGCTTAAAATTTCCTCAAAATTTATGAGAGGTAGTTGATAACGAGAATTATAATTTTTATCCCAAACAATTTTGTCCAATCTCAATACGTGATCAAAAAATCTTTGAGAATCATAGCGTCATTACGCAGTGTACCTACCTGTCTGAGAATCTCCGACATATACGACCACGTGAGTTAATTATCCCTGCCTCAAATCACCGTCATCATGACTGGTTACCTTTGCAAATTTTGGCACTTTGAACCCTCGACCATCATCATCGGGAATTTCAACAGGACTCTGGACCCGTTTTTCTTCATTTGCGTCAGTATTTTTTTTAATAGTTCATAGTTAAACAATTAAATGGAAAAAATGTGGACAATCCCTCTATTATTATTGTTTTGGTTGTAATTTTAACTGGCTGT